CCCAGCTACTCGGGAGGCTGAGGCAGGAGGATCGCTTGAGCCCAGGAGTTTGAGGTTGCTGTGAGCTAGGCTGATGCCATGGCACTCTAGCCAGGGCAACAGAGCCAGACTCTGTATCAAAAAAAAAAAAAATCTGTGTCTGTATACTTACAAGGATGCTTTGAGCATTCATGAAAATACTTTGAACTACACGTTTAAGAGCACTAGAGAAATCAACAGAATGAAAAACAAAATTCAGAATAGTGAGGAAGGAAGGGGACGGAGAATCTTCAAAGATAATGGTAATATATTAATACTTCTTTGGGCAGCAGACACATGAGTTTGTTGTATTTTACTCTTTAAACACATTATATAAATATTCTTTTGTAAACTTTACCCTTGTAATTCAACCCTTAACCTTGTATTATATTTGTTAAAGGTCTTAACAAACACAATAAAAAGAAAACCAGTATAGACATCAAGGTATTAATAGCTGATTTTAAGTGAACAAGGTGTCTAGAGGTGGTTGGGACCATTAAAACCTAGATTGTTCACACTGGTCATGATCTGGCTTCTCAGACTTCTTTCCATCCCTGCACTGCTCTGACTCTGACACAGCTTGAGTGTGGACACAGGCCTTTCCTGACAGTCCTTTCTCTCCATAGGCAGATTCTAGACCAGGTGGAGTTATAAAGATCATAGCCTGAACTTAGATAACACAGACAGGAATCGCTGTCCACAGAGAGCAAGAGGGCCAAGCAGTCACTGATACCTTGATACCTTCTCAAATAGAGGCAAGGACCACAGCAAGAGCACAGAGATGATCATTGTGATTTGGAGTTTAATGGGTAAAATGACCTTCCATGTGAAAATGTAAGTCATGAAATAGGTTTGTTTTCTTTTTAAATTGATTTGAACTTTGTTTTGCAAGCTATGATAAACTTAAGAAAATGCATTTTTCAAAATAAAGGAAACTACTGTAAATACTGTTTATGAGAATATAATTATTTCAGGGAAAGTTATCCTAGTGCTTTGACCAAAAAGATCAAATGTATGTATGCAGTATGTATTAATAGCATGAATGATACTAAATGTGCTTTCACTTTAAATTTATTATAACATTAAATTAATCCTTGAATAGATAGGACAGGTTAACTTTTAAAGCATTTCCCTGGCTCATTTTTATGTAGTTTTTATACAGTTTCTTCCATCTGTGTCAGCATGTCATAAGGAAAACAGAAGCCAAAAGCACAAGTAGTAAAAAAGAAATAACTACCTCTTTAAAGAAAGTAGCAACACAAATAATAAAATATCCAAATAGAGCAGTTTACCATGTCTTCTGGTTCAGGTATACTGATGCCACGGAAAAACTGATTACTTTTAAAGATACACTGATGTCTTGGGATTAGTTTTCCTGTAAATTACAAACCACATAACTCATCATAAATTTGGCAAAGAATAATAAAGTGTTTAAATGGTTAACTTCTTAGGTGCAGGTATGAAAGAAATATTGTGCCTCAATGTTCCCTCCAGCTAGAAGGAATGGGTCCCTGTGGGCGCACACCTTCTTAGTTAGGTAAGGCCAATTCTCCCAAGCAACTCTCCGCCACACGTGGTTTGGTTGCCATTTAGCCTTCATCAAAAGACAAGGTGAGAAAATGGTGCTAGGGGCCTAGAGGCTTTACACATATGATTTCATCTAATTTCATAACAATCTCACCATAGTTGCTTTTTTTTTTTTGAGACAGAGTCTCGCACTGTCACCTGGGCTAGAGTGCCGTGGCGTCAGCCTAGCTCACAGCAACCTCAAACTCCGGGGCTCAAGCAATCCTCCTGCCTCAGCCTCCGAGTAGCTGGGACTACAGGTGCGCACTACAACGCCTGGCTAATTTTTCTATTTTTAGTAGAGATGGGGTCTCACTCTTGCTCAGGCTCATCTCGAACTCCTGATCTCAAGCAATCTTCCTGCCTCAGCCTCCCAGAGTGCTAGGATTACAGGCGTGAGCCACCGTGCCTGGTCCATAGTTGCTATTTTAAATCTACATTGTACCAATGAGGAAATGAGGCTCAGAGAGGTTTAATATTAATAACTTGCCCAAGATCACACAGTATTAAGTGAGAGACCCAGGATTCAAGCTCAGGTCTGTCTAATGCCACACTTAGGTCTGTATAACGTAAATTTCCAGAATCCTTTTAGGAAGTCAATCAAACAAACAACCTACACTTAAGGTGTGGCCTGCAGTTGGTACTCTACCCCACATTTTTCATGCTGCAGAATTCTCCAGAGGCATGGGTTGGAACCAAACAGGGAACTGTCCAACAGCCATGCTGCCAGGAGAGCCTGTGGGAAGGAATTAGTCAACACTCATCTTTGTGTGTAAAGGTGTCACTTTCTTTGCTTCCATGCTGCTGGCATGAAGCTGCCACATGATGAAGGCTCATAAAAGAAACCCCTTGAGTCCCATTCCTATTCTACACTTAACTGGCTGTATGACTTTAGGCAAATCATGGAAGCTCCCTGAGCCTCAGTTTCCTCATTTATACAATAGACACAATTAAAAAAATATTATAACTTCCTTAACAGGTTTTTCTTAAGACTAGAAGAGATGATGTATATGTAAGTAATAAGTAAATTCTTAAGTACTGTGCAAAGAAAACATGTTAATGTTATTTAAACTCTGGCAGCAGCTCCCCATCAGGAAGTATTATAAAATCAGACTCTTAAGCTCTAGGGCAGGGGTATGCAAACTATGACCTGCAGGCCAGATCTGGTCTAGTTCCTGTTTTTGTACAGCCTGTGACCTAAGAATGGTTTTTACATTTTTAAGTAGATAAAAAAATCAAAAGAAGAATAATATTTTGCAACATGTGAAAGCTATAAGAAATTAAAATTTCAGCGTCCATAAATAAAGTTTTATTGGAACCCAGCCACACTCATTTGTTGACATATTGTGTATAGCTGCTTTTGCACTATAACAGCAGTGGTGGGGAGTTGCAACAGAGGCTGTAAAGCCTGCAAAACCTAAAATATTTACCATCTGGCCTTTTATAGAAAACATTTACTGAGCCCTGCTCTAGAATAAAGTGGTGGTGGGGGGGACCTCTTTTACAGTGGGCAGAAATTGCATTTGATCAAATATCTCTTAGCTTATGCTCTAGGCAGCTGACTCATATCCTTATCTCTCTCTTAGCCTGATATGGAAAGTAAACATATAGTTTATTCCATGGCTAATTGCCTTTTCTTGGAAAGGCATCTGAGAACTCACTGAGAGGAGTTATGGTGCTACATATTGAGATAAGGATTGGGCTTTGGCTACAACTCAGAACCCAGAACAACCATCAGAGTAGCACTTTGGAAGAGCAATAAAGCTCTTGTTTTGTATTACAACAAGATACAAATACAATAACAATTTAACAATTGTGGGTAAGCCACAAAATGGAATTTGTACCCAGTGTTCTGATTATCATATAAAGTTGGTCCACATCTGATTTTCCAGGCCAGAGTGGCTGGCTTGTCAGGAGCTCTGCAAAAACACAACCGGTGGCCCATATGTCAACGGAAGAACCATACTGAGTATCTCCCACGAGAAGTTCAGGAGCTCGGTACCATCTTGTAGCAACATAATCGGTGTAGGCATCTCCTGGAACTGCAAATGCATCAGTCAGATCAGGTGATTCATATTCTCCCAACATGTGAACATGTGAACTACTCCCAAGACCAGGTGAGGCATTCAGGCAAGCTTCAATAATATCACAGGCCATGATACTCCTAACAGCTAATTCAGTGGGCCACCAATTAGTAAACAGTCACACTGTGCATTGAGATAGTAAATTCGACTTCCTAGTGCACCTTAGCTAGTTAACATCTATGTCATTCCAAGAGAGGGGAATGAGGATTTCTGTAGCATAACTTCAAGTCTAAACCAACTATTATTTGTTTCCACATTATTATCAGCATGGTGGTGGCTGTGGGTTAAATTGTGCCCCCGCAAAAGATAGGTTGAAGTTCTAAATCCTGGTACCTGTGAACGTGACTTATTTAGAAACGGGGTTTTTGCAGATGTAATTAGTTAAGATGAGGTCACACTAGATTAGGGTGGACTCTAAATCCAATGACTTCCTACAAGAAGGCCACACAGGGACACAGAGACACAGAGGGAGAATGCCATGTGATGTCAGAGGCAGAGACTGGAGTGATGCAGCTGCAAGCCCATGAACACCAAATTTCCCTACAACCATCAGAAGCTAGGAAAGAGTCATGGAAGAATCCTGCCCTAGAGTCTTCAGAGGGACATGGCTCTGATGAAAACTTGGTATCAGACATCTGGCCTTCAGAACAGTAAGGCAGTAAATTTCTGTTGTTTTAAGCCACACAGATTGTGGTAATTTATTATGGCAGCCCTAGGAAACTAATGCAGTGTTGTACAACTGCATTAAACTGATTTTTTGGCTGGGTGCAGTGGCTCACACCTGTAATCCTAGCACTCTGGGAGGCTGAGGTGGGAGGATCACTTGAGGTCAGGAGTTCAAGATGAGCCTGAATAAGAGCAAGATCCCGTCTTTACTAAAAAAAGAAAAAGTTAGCTAGGTGTGGTGGTGTACACCTGTAGTCCCAGCTACTCAGGAGGCTGAGGCAGGAGGACTGTTTGAGCCAGGAGTTTGAGGTTGCCGTGAGCTATGATGATGCCACTGCACTCTAGCCCAGGTGACAGAGCAAGATGCTGTCTCAAAAGAAAAAAAAAAAATCCCAGAAAAAAGAAACTCTAATTTTTCTATCCAAATTTGTTACTTAGGATCCACTGACTCCTTGTGAGTCATGCATGGTGTGTGACAGGCAGATGACAGAACTGGGTGCAACCTCACTGCTCGGCCCTGCCCTACTACCACAGGTGTGGGATGCCTGGGGCCAAGCACCTGCCTCCCAAGGGGGTGGAAGCCAATCCCACAATCAACACATGACGCTGAAGGACCAGGAACCCTACACATACGTGACAGAGGAGGAACAACTGGAAACCAGCCCGGCTTGCAGAGATGAGAGAACGGGCAATTCTCCTTGGTAAAGGCTTCAGGGAGCCGGCGTGGCTCCGTCACAAAAGACAGCTCGGAAAATAGTGAGTGCGGCTCTCATCAAAAAGCAGTCCTCATGGGAGCGGGAAAAGGAAATGATCTTTACTTACCCATTGCTCTTTTATAGAATTATATAAATTTTTAAATTATAAAAATTAATAAATGCCATATAGGAAATTTGGAAAACGGAGAATAGGAAAGAAAATCACCACCACTGACAATTCTCACTGTTCACAGGTCAAGTCGGCTGTTTTACTTGTTTGGAACATCTTTTAACATAAAAGTCATATACGCTCACTACAGAGAGTATGAAAAAATAAAATCAACAGAAAGAAGGAAAATAAATCCAAGTTTTACCATCCAAAGATACCTTGTGTTAATCTTCTGGTGTATTTCATTTGGGTTTTATTTTTTTACGGCACAATTTTTTGAGTACTTTTGATCATATGTTATATAAAATTTTGTGTCCTCATTTTTTCATTTAATTCTGTATATGTACCATGTTATTATAAACTCTTCCTAAACTTGAGTTTAATGGCTGCATAAGTTTACCAAGTGCCTATGCCATGATTTCCTTTACCTTTCCCAAATTTTCCGTATTTTGCTATTATAAATAACACCAGACTGAAAATCTCTGCACAAAGTTTTTTCTCTATTTAGTATTATTTCTTTAGAATGAATTTCTGGAAGTGGAATTACTAGACTGAGATGTATGAGCATCACTTATAAAATTATTAGAGTAATCCATGTTATTTGTAGAAAACTCGGAAAATACAAAAGTAATAAAACAAAGAAGGAAATAAAAATCACCTACCACCCAGACAGAAACCATGTTAACATTTTGGTGTGTTTCCTTTGTTTCTTGTCTTTTCTTAATATTACACACCCAAACACACATAGAATTGAAGCCACTCCATATGTGCAGTTTTGTATTCTTTTTCACTTAGCCTCACGTGTGCTGGAGCATTTTCTTGTGTCATTAAAATTCTTTAAAAATTCAAATTTTAATGTATGATATTAAATCATATAAATTCTTTAGCCATTTCCTTATTTCTGAATGGTTAGTTTCCTCTGAATTTTCTTTTTCAGTAATACATGGTTCCACAATGGACATTATATTATTTTTGGAGGTAGTATCTTGGGACAGAATTATGAGAGAATTATGAGTATCTTATGAGAGAATTAAAGCTTCAAAAGATACTTTAAAAAGTTTTTGATAAAAATTAACAAACTGTTTTCTCAAGGATTTGTTCCAAACTCTGTTTCCATTAAAAACAATTTTGTGAGCTCTGAGCGGTTATTGTCTGAAAAATCTTTGCCAGCTTCACTGGAGAAGAGTAACATTTGAATGTGCATTTCTTTGATATCAGTGAGAAGGAAGATTATTTCATGTTGTTAGCCTTTTCTTTCTTCTGCGAACTGTCGGTTAACATCTTGCTAATTTTCCTGCTCAGAGCTTTTGGGGTTTTTTCCCCTTATAATCTACATAAGCTCTTTTATATCAATCTATTGATTATCAATTTTGAAATATTCTCTCTCTTTATTGCTTTAAAATTTTTTTATCTCTATGTATATCTATATTTTTATATATACATAATTTAAGTTCCTCCTTCATACTTATATATGTGGGAAATGTACATAACATAAAATTTACTATTTTAACCATTTTAAAATGTACAGTTCAGTGGCATTAAGTACATACACAGTGTTGTACAACCATCACCACGACCCATCTCCAGGACTTTTTCATCATCCTAGCCTGAAACTCTGTACCCATTAAACACTCACTCCCCATCCCCTCTCCCCTCAGCCCTGGTAATCACTACTCTTTTTTCTGTCTCCATGAACTTGACTATTCTAGGTTGCTTATACAAGTGGAATCTTAAGTATTTGTCCTTTTGTGTTGGCTTATTTTACTTAGCTTAACATTTTCAAGGTGTATCCACGTTGTAGCATGTATCAGAATTTCATTCGTTTTTAAGGTTGAATTATATTCCATTATATGTATATACCACATTTTGTGTATCCACTCATCCTTAACGGACATTTAGATTGTTGCTACCTTTTGGTTATTGTGAATTACACTGCTATGAACACTGGCATACAAATGTCTTAGAGTCCTTGCTTTCAGTTCTTTTAGGTATATACCTAGACGTTGAATTGCTGGATCAAACAGTGACTGTATGTATAATTTTTTAAAGAACTGCCATACTATTTTCCACAGCAGCTGCACCATTCTACATTCCCACTAGCAACGAACAAGGGCTCCGATTTCTCCATATCCTCACCAACACTTGCTATTTTGTTGTGTATTTTATTTTTAACAATAGTCATCCTAATGGGTGTGAAATGGTATCCCACTATGGTTTTAATTTGCATTTCCCTAATGATGAGCTGAGCATCTTTTCATGTACGTGTTGGCCATTTTTATATTTTCTTCCAAGAAATGTCTATTCTAGTTCTTTGCCAATTTTTAAGTTAGTTTTTATTGTTGTTGAGTTATAGGAGTTCTTTATACATTCTGGATATTTATTCCTTAGCGAATATAAATTTGTGAATACTTTCTCCCTTTCCATGGGTTGTCTTTTCACTCTGTGTATAGTGTCCTTTGATGAACAACAGTTTTTAATTTTGATGAAGTCCAATTTATCTATTTTTTCTTTTGTTGCTTGTGCTTTTAGTGTCACATCCAAGAAGTCACTGTCAAATTCAATGTCATAAACCTTTACTTCTATATCTTCCTCTGTGAGTTTTATAGCTTTATCTCTTACATTTAGGTTGGTGATTTATTTTGAGTGGATGTTTGTATATGGTGTAAGGTAAAGGTCCAACTTCATTTGCTTGCATGTGGATATCCAGTAGGAGCTTAAATTTTTATGCAGTTAAATCTATTGAGCCAATGTTAGAATTTTGGCACAGAATAGGATCCCCTTCTTTGCCCTTCTCATTCTAAATGACCAACTATGACTCCAATAATGACCTAAACTAGTACTTACAATGGCTTGAGCTACAACCAGTACCTGAGCTTACATCTTGTGGAGTTTTCAGCCAGCATTGGCAGTGTCTTGTACTACGACTTTGCTTGTAATAATATGGCAGAAGATATCATTATTGGAATTGCCACGGTGGGTTCACCATTCAGAGACTTTTGGATGTGTTCATGCGGTCAAAATTTCTGAGACAGATGACCCTGCTATTGAACTTAGTTTTAAGGTTCTTCATTCAGAGAATAACGATGATATTTGCTACAGGGAGACTCAGCAGGAAAGCAGGAATGCACATTCATGAAAAAATCGAATATATTTATGCTTTTAGAAGAACTGCCAGTTTAAATAGCCTTGCCAGCCCATGAAGAAAAATCCCCAAAAAGAATATTTATGAGGTAACTTTTATATGAAATGTTTCTTTTATGTTCTTGATATTTATAATGGCATATGTGTGGTTTTTTTCAGTTATTTTTGTGAGCAAATTGGGCATTTTTGAAGTATAAAATAGATTTCCAGGAAAAACCCCCAAACCTATGATATTGCATCTGTACGACATATTATATGACCATTACCCACTTAATTTCCTAAGTTCGGGATCATATGTATACTAGTAATATTTTTTCTACTTATTTCCTTTGGCAATTATTCTTTTTTTGTATTTCCTATATAGTTGAGATCATACTATAAACATAAGTTTTAGCTTTCCCTTTTCACTTATCACATCTTAAACATTTCCTGATACCACTGAAAACTCCATAAACATCACTGCTAATGGCTGCCTGGCATTTCATGATATGGATGTACCACAGTACTAAGTGCAGTGTTCATAGTCTCTATAATTTTCCAGTGTTTGTCTGTTTCTCTTTTCAGCCACATGGCACAGGGACCAATTATTATTAGAGTTCAATCTTTTTCTTTACTTTTTTAAATTTTTGAGACAGACCCTTGCTCTGTTGCCTGGGCTAAAGTATCATGGCATCAGCCTAGCTTACAGCAACCTCAAACTCCTGGCTCAAGCGATCCTCCTGCCTCAGTCTGTAGCTAGGACTACGATGTGCACCACGATGCCTGGCTAATTTTTTCTATTTTTAGTAGAGATGGGGTCTCGCTCTTGCTCAGGCTGGTCTCAAACTCCTGACCGCAAGTGATCCTCCTGTCTCGGCCTCCCAGAGTGCTAGGATTACAGGAGTGAGTCACCACGCCTGGCCAAGAGTCCAATTTTCTTACACTGCAAAGCACAGCAACCTCAGAAAGCTTTGATCTGTCTTTGTTTTTGCCCAGCCCTAATAAATGCATTGCCAAGTCACCTGTGTTTGGGTCCTATCAGGATACTGATTACGTCCACACCCATATTGCAAGATGTATGTTGCTAATACATGTGTTATGCCTGCTGTAAAGTTCTAAATTGAGGAAGAAACAATTATTTGTCCCTCCCTTTCCCTTCAGTTCCTCCCTGCCTGGGAAGATTTCCTTTTTCTTAGCACTGTCTCTGCATCCTCTTTCTTTAATTTTCAGTGTACTTTTCTAGTCTCACCAGCTCCATGAAGTTTTTTCATCCACTCTCGCCCACATTAATATTTCCCTCCAGGGAACCATCTGCACCTTCACTTTAGTACTTTATTGCCAATCATCTTGTATCATTCTTTGTGTCTTTCACTTTAGATTATAAATGCATGAAGAGCAGAAATGCTCTTATAATTCTTTTCCTCTCCTATGGGGCAAAGCACATAAAGGTGACATCCAATAAATTCTAGCTGAATGGAGCAGAGTTGAAATGCAAACTAATGTACTAAAAGGCTAAAGTGATATTTTCCTTTTCGAATAACTACAATACAACATTGAGCATACGTTCAATATCTAAAGTAAGAATTTAAAGCATGTCATTTTATAATCATTTGAATTGGAAAGTCAGTAAAAAATTGCTACTTACTCAGAATTCGTGCAAACCCAAAGTCACAGATCTTGATTATTCCTTGCTTAGTTATCAGAATATTTTCAGGTTTTACGTCTCTGTGAATACACTGCGAGATAATATTTGATTATTTTTATGAGCCATTAAAATGACAAAGAATAACATTAACAACTAGTTTAAACATGGATAAACAGCCTGTGAGATAAAAACAAACACGGGTTTCCTTCATTTTTCTAAAAGAACTTAAATTGCCAATTTTCACTTGTAAGTCTTATACCAAGAGAAAAAAACATATGAAAGTGTTACTATATTATTAAAGAAATTAAAATAATAATTGTTGCATATGAAAACTGTGTCTGACTTTTTTTTTTTAAAGAAGTGAGTATCATGTAATTATTTCTTTCAATTTTTACTGGGCCCTATTTAAACCATAAGAGGTAAAACCCTAAATGAGATTAGACTCAGCGTACTTCTAGTAAGAATTGCTGCCATTTGAGAATCACAACTCAGGATGAAATCTATTGCAGACTTGAGAAACTGAAAAACATTTAAATGATAACAAAAACCAAAATTCACTCATAATTAGAATGACCATATTATTTATCATCCAAATCAAGCCACTTTCAAGAGTGAAAGGGAGCCCAGTTAATAACCAAACCAGAACTGTCCTGAATATGCTGGGATGTATAGTCACCTACTTATCAGAGACTCCAAAGCACTCTGTATCACTTCGGTTCCTCAACACTGACCTAGGCTGGAATGATCAGCAGCCCTTCTGAGATGTCCCCGCAGTGCTGTTGGAGTCTCTCCTGGGAGAGCAGGGCCCCACTATGAGGTGCTGTCATCTCAAGAAGCTCCCGCTCCTCCCATCCAGGTGGCAGCCTTACAATTTGCTGCCTCACCATAATGACCCCAAATGAAGCAGACGCTGCTCGCTGGACACGAGAGGGCCAAGCTGGGGGCCGAGTAAGCTCACGCATCATGATTCCAGAAATGGTTTTCCACGTGTGATGTGCCGTGAGTAAATAACTCCGGCCCTACCCTTCCGAACTTTATCTTTCCAGTTTATCCACCCTCCCAAAAAAGAAAATGGATAAAAATGATACCGATCTTCTATACCTGGGCCCTCACATAGAGCTACGTACTTCTCAAAACACTTTCACGTAAATTATTTCATCCTCGCCACAATCCTGTGATTGCAGGTGGCTACTGACAGAGTCCATGAATTAAGTGTCACAATAATCAACCCCTTCTGCCTCACTTCTCTGCCACGTTGTCAGGCCCTTTAGGTATTCCTGTCAAATTGACAGTTCTGAAATAATTTTCTTTGTTTCTGTAATAGCTATCTAGGAAGCAAAAAGGCTGAATCCTAAATTCATTCTATGTCACAAAAATGGTACTGGTAACAGAAGCTTCTTCCTATGTAGTCTCGATGACTGTCTACTGTTTCGTAATTTATCTGAAGAACAGTTAGAAGAAACTTTTTTAGGACCCTTAAGTCCTAAGGCCTTAGATACTAATTTAAAACAACACATTATTGTAATATAAACTGATGCAGTTTTGATATCCTACCTTTTAAGCAACTTATTTATGAAACTTAGACTAACCCTCTGCGTTAGTAACTCACTTATAATAGTCGGTCATTTCATTATTTCATTTTATACATCCCTCAAATGAGTCTGCATCAAATTCTAAAATTTCTAACTATGTATGGCATCACAAAGTAAATGAATTTACATTGATATTTATCTGTTGGCCTACTTAAATATTTTTGGATCAAATGCAAATCTATGTGAAATTTACGGCACTTATTTTTCCACAAAAATAATACAAAGGCAAATGAAATATTGATCTGTCCCAAAGAAACAGAAAAATTTATTGGTATTGGTGTAGGTAAGAGAAGCTACTGATAAAGAGGGATAGGATACTGAACAAAGAAAAAGGGAGTAAAAATAATTGGAACTCTAAGAAACAGAGACTGGGAGACAGAAGGCATAGACATATATAGCATTCACTCTCTCCACGGCAAAGCCACACTCACTGGAAACTCTCTGTAATGCTCTTTGCAATCAGCTTCCATCAAAGAACAAGAAACATGCAAGTCTCTGTTAACAGAAGAATTTTAATAAACTGTTAAATAAACTTGGGTTTTATACACAGTTTTTAGCAAACATTGCTCAGGTTGGGTTATTGTGGCCGATGTTCAATCTCATTTTTATTGGCTCACAAACCAGCAAGAAGAGGTATCCATGGTATTTTAAACCTGACTTTCAACTTTAAGAATCATATCTGTTAAACACCAATGATGGAACAAGGTAGAAATAAATAAATAAATAAAAACGAGAAAAAAAAAATCTCTGGAAACTTCCACACCAAAAATTCCTTCTTATGTAGCCCAACTGAACAATAAGTAGTTTTCTATTATCTGAGAAGGTTGTTTTCATTGACACGAAAACAACAGAGATGGATGTTCATACGGCAAAGAGAGAGAAAAGAGACCCCCTCTTTGATAACCAAAACATGAATATCAATGAGATGCTGATGGATGTTACAGCCTGACAGATCTCAGAAATTACTGTAGTTTTGCCTTTTTGAGTTGAAGCTTTTTCTCTAATAATACTTCAAATATATAAAAATCCATGCATTTTTTTCATAATGATGTTAAGTGGATCACTTTAGTTACCTCATTCTAGTGATGTTATAGGATAAAATAGAACAAAATGACTAGGTACTTTCTCAAGTCCAGTGCTTCTCAAAATTTGATGTGTACACGAATCACTTAACGCTCTTATTAAAATTCAGATTCAGATTCGGTAGATCTGGAGTGGGCTGAGATTCTGCATTTCTAACAGGTTCCCACGTGATCTCTGCGCACCACACTTTGCGTAGCAAGGCCTTAATCCGTTACTACTTTAGCCTGCATTGTCCTGCTTAGGATCACGACTCTGGAGACAGTAAGGTGCACATGGTCTCCACCGGCTGAGAGATGTGCGTGTGCAGCGACACCATGGGCCAGACTGCCTTTTCTATTCTTTGAGGGTATCATAAGGGTCCCTTTAAAAATAAGCAGAGCATAAAGGTTTTAGATGTTTTATTGTAACAGCTTATATATGATAGATTTTTTTCCTTTGTATGCATTTTATTTTATTTTTGTTTATTTATTTATTTTTTGAGAAAGGGTCTCGCTCTGTTGCCCAGGCTAGAGTGCAGTGGCATCATCATAGCTCACTGCAACCTCAAACTCCTGGGCTCAAGTGATCCTCCTGCGTCAGCCTCCTAAGCAACTGGGAATACAAGGGTGTGCCACCACACCTGGCTAATTTTTCTATTTTTTGTAGAGACAGGGTCTTGCTCTTACTCAGGCTGGTCTCGAACTCCTAACCTCAAGCGATCCTCCCACCTCGGCCTCCCAGACTGCTAGGATTACAGGCGTGAGCCACCGTGCGCAGACTGTATGCATTTTGATTATAGATAAAACACAAGATAGACACACAAAGGCTTATCACAGCATAAGAAAATGAGATAACCAGAGTTCAGAGGTCATTTCCCTCTTGGAAGAGGGAAGTTTGTCTGAAAAATTATCCATTTTTAATAGAGGGCACAGATTATCAATGGGATATTTTCAACATTTCCATCCTTAATATATAGAATGTGTTGTTCTAAGCAGTGAAATGATGGCAATTGCATTGAGCTACAATAATGTTTGGGTCTGCCGGAAATAGTAAGTCACTAGCAGGTTGAACACTGATTGATCGAATGATTCATTCATCCATCTATCCATCCATCCAGTTATTTATTTATTTTTTTTTTTGAGACAGAGTCTCACTGTGTTGCCCAGGCTAGAGTGCCATGGCGTCATCTTAGCTCACAGCAACTTCAAACTCCTGGGCTCAAGCGATCCTCCTGCCTCAGCCTCCCGAGTAGCTGGGACTACAGGCATCTGCCACCATGCCCGGCTAATTTTTTCTATATATTTTTAGTTGTCCAACTAATTTCTTTCTATTTTTAGTAGAGACGGGGTCTCCCTCTTGCTCAGGCTGGTTTCGAACTCCTGAGCTCAAACAATCCACCTGCCTCGGCCTCCCAGAGAGCTAAGATTACAGGCGTGAGCCACCACGCCCGGCCCATCCATCCAGTTATTCAATAAATATTTAGTGAGCACCTCTTACATTAAAAGATCAAATCTAGGCATTAAAGAGATACAAAGATAAAGGAACCACAGACATTGCATTCAAGCTTATAGCCTGCTACACAGGAAAGTGTCTGGTTATATCGGAATAAAGTGTGAACACTATGGTAAGTAGTATTTTTAGAAAACCATTTTCACTGCCTTTAAAACTCCTGCAGCAACTTGATCCCCCCTCTGGCACGGTGGAAAGCAACAGAGATAGAGATTCAAATCGCCATCATCTTTATTAAGTATCTGAAAGCACAATTTGCCTTGTGAAAAATAGGTTTATGTATTTTATGAACAATATCCTTCTATATTAATAGAAAATAAAAGCTTTTGGTTTAATCCAATAAAAACTTCACTGACTTCCTTAAATATAAAGAAAGTATTGAAATTTATTTCCTCTAAGTATTGAAATTTATTTCCACGGTCTTGTAATTTCTTTTTCAGCAATCCTAGACTACTACGGTAGGCATTCTGCTGGCATCAAAACTGATCATATGGTACTCTGTATCATTGCCTCAGTGCTGCCTCTGTCCAGGCACCAACTCAAAAGGTCCAGAGATATTTTTTAAAACCTATCTTTATACCAAAAGTACTGAGGAGCAACTTGAAGAAGCTCTCATTGGCCTAAGATAGGACAAGTTGAGCATCAGAGAGAACGATGACTGCAAAAGATTGAAAACATCACATAATATAAAATCCATGTTTATAATGGTGCCCCAGTCACCCCCTAAAACCTGTCATTGTTCCCTTTTGGAGGTTGCAAAGATACCAACTCATCACTCTGAGTATTGACAAAAGAAATCATCACATATTTATCTTATTGTACTTTACAGTAGCCAGAATTCATGAGGGTCCAATTAATAAATGCAGAAGGAATAACAGAATTAGAAAATTACCATCTTTTAATCCTAATGAAATACTAGATACAGGGAATAATCGTCACTGGACAATTCAGGGAAAAAGGCTTGACAGGGAAATTGACAACAGAGAGGATCGAACTAATCCCTCCTGAGCCCGCTAATCAATTTTAACAAGATGAAAAGTGGGATGAAGTGTAGGGCACCACACATGAAGTGCTCTTATCTACAAAAATTGAACTTGAATATGATCAAGCGTCTAGATATAAATTCCGATTTACAGGAAATAAGGTGGAAGGACAAGTCAAATTACATACAGGAGCAATCAGCCAGAATTATTTCTACAACACAGTAGTATTCAAAGTGTGGTTCTTGAACAGCAGCTTCAGTATCATCTGGGACAATGTTAGAAATGCACATTCTCAGGCCCTACCCCAGACCGACTGAATCACAAACTCTGGGGATGGGGCCCAGCAAGCTGTGTTTTAAAAAACCCTCTACGTGATTCTGCTGCATGCTCGAGTTTGAGAACTATGGCTCTAAAAATTTAATGGCCTAAAGAAAAAAAACCTTAAGATTGCTACAGAGCAAAAAGATTGTAGAGATGTAAAAACAAAAACGGTGGATTATTTTACCCATATCCTGATAAATTATTAATATTTTAACCCAATTTAAAAATAATCATAAGAGTCATCGAACTGTGGCAAAAAGAAACATTACATTTATACAAACTTTATTTCATAGGAATTAGTAATTTGATTCTTACAGAAACTGGAAAGGGGCCATGAACAACGCATCGCTTTTCCTCACATTCTGTAACTTTCTTTTGTCTCTCTCCTCGGGTTCTTACTTTCCCTTTGTTCTTTAGCTCTTTAGAAGAAAAGAGTTACCATGAAGAAATTAACAGATACATTAGAAAATGTTACTTACATTATGTTTATGACAGAAATTAAGGGCTTGAAGTGTTTGCCATAACACACTTTTGATCACTCCATCAGCAACTCTGCGGGAGAAAACAAGAAAAGGAAATGAAAACTCCTAGGATGGAGTCCAGAAGCCAGGCCTGGGGACAGAAGTGAAAGGGTGGGGGCTTGTCATGGCCAAAGAACACAGTGCCAAGGTGTTATTATAGTTATTAATTTTCTTTTGTAATTTGAAATTTTTACATCTGTAAAATGATACATGCTCATGAAAATTCAAACAATATAGAAAAGCAAAGGGGTGAAAAGTGTTGACTAAAATCTTGCCACCCCAAAATAGCTGCCATAACTTATGGTGGATGTCTCTTCAGCCATCTCTGTTCCTTAATCTCTCTTTCTCTCTGCATTTACTTTTTAACTTTAATTTTAAATAAATACATTCATATGATTCAAAATTTAAGAAGTATGGGTATATTCATGAAGTCTTCTCTCTGACACCTGCCTAACCACCCATTTATTTTCTGCTATCCCACCCTCTGCCTCTTTGAGAAACATTTTCCGCACAGAGGTACAAATACTGACATGTGTGCTTATATTTTAGCGGCTGTAGAGGAGCTCCTTATATGGATGCATCATAATTTTCTTGGTCTCCAATGATGAGCAGTTAGGTTGAGCTAATTTTTATTTCTAGAAATACTTCAATGAACATCTGTAATCACCCATTTTATTGCAGTTATGTAATTTATCGTCTTAAGATAAGTTCTAGAAGGGAGATTTCTGGGACCAATGGTAGGCACATGATACATTTTGATCTTCAGATAGACCTGAGACCTGGTTTTGCAGGAAAAAAGGTATACTTGGAAGATTGCTCTTTAATTCATCCAGTTCATGCTGGTGGCAAACATTCAAGCATGTGCAGGACTTATTTTATACTAGTTACTTGTACCTGGTTAGCAGGCAGATTTACAGACAAAGAGGAGGCCAGGGAGAATAAAGATCCCAATAGAATGGGAGGTGTGAGTTTCTTGTCCCTGGCAGAATCATCACTCTGTATAGAAAACTTTGGAAGATATCATGGGCAGGTGTATTTTCCACTGGGGAACTGGAGATCTGAGAAACTTGTATTCTGTATGAGAGTAGCCTACTTTATGTAACCATCTCTGTAAATTATAGCAATTACATTCCCTTTAGCTTTTCTGTTGGTGTCTTTCCATCACTCACATCACTGTCCCATGACGATGCCTTCACATTTACATACTGCCAAACTACCTTCTCTATGGAAGGTTATACCCAATTACACTCCCACCAAACATCTGTGCATAAAAATCCCTATCTTCTCCTTGTCTTGCCAACATTTGGTTTTGCCAATATTATGTTTGCCAATCTGTGGTTAAAATAAAGAGATATCTCATTTTGGTTTGTATTTGCATTTCATTAATTTTTAGCGATTATTAATTTTCAAATGATTATTGGATACTACATTTCTTCATTTGTGTATTTCTATTTCATAGCCTTTATAGATTTTTTAAATTGATCTGTTTACTCTTATTGATTTATGAAGACTCAACGTATATCAGAGTCTGTTATATATGCTGCAAATATTTTTCTCAGCGTGTTGTTTGTCTTTCAGCCCTGTTGATGGAGATGGGGCTGTTGTTTGCATATCCTCAAAAATCTGAAATACAAGGGTTTCTTTTACTAAATGTCCACTAAAAGGATTTTTTAATTAAAAAATGTATAATTATGTAATACTGTAAACATATTCATCACTCATATTTAATATTTTGTCATGTTTGGACAATTAAATCATATATTTAGATCACTTTTTAAAAATTGAATGTATGCAGATGTAGCTGGCTTCACAGAGCAGTGGAATGACCTGTGCTTGACTCAGTTAAGACACTAGCTACAGGATACCACCACGTGAGGCTGAAGTGTATGCAGAGAAACAGCAACCAACGTATGGAGGTATTTCTCTGAGAGCAGTTTCCTGATCTCAGGTCACAATTACGGTGGCATGCCCATGACATCAGAGGTCCAGTGGCAACCCTTTTGACTCCAGCTCTTCTAATTATTAATACTAAGAAAGCACTTAATTCTCAGTATTACAACCCTTTTTACTTGAAATTTCTATTTCCTGCAATGAACTCTGACATAACTTTATCCTTCTTCCCCTTTACCTAGACCCAAAACTGAAAGAACACAGTTAACATTTTTTTAATAAGAGACAGAAAGAACAGCATAGCCATTCTGAACACTGTGAGACAGGCTGCCTGACTTCAAATCCCAACTGTGCCGCTTCTTAGTTTCATAACCTTGGATACCTCATTTAAGCTCTCGGTGCCTTCAGTTTTCCTCATGTGTAAAAATAAATAATATCTCATAAGTTTATTGAGAAATCTATCCCCTAAACGTCTAGGTTTTAACACCTACACGGGTTCAGGAGATGAGGGTCTGAGATCAGACGAGGCTGTAGATGGATGGGACTGAGACCCCTGTACAAAGACTGAACAGGTGCAGAAGAACAAGAGGCCGTGAGGTGAGGAAGAACTGGGAGTGTGGGGAACAGTATGGAGGCCAGTGTGCTGACACATGGGTGAAGGAGCTGGGAAGGTGGGCAGAGGCCGATCCATGAAGGACCTTAGAGATCCATATCTTGGCAAGGAATTTGGATTTTACTCTAAATTCAAAGCCATTGAAAAGATTCAGGGGCCGGATGCAGTGGCTCATGCCTATAATCCCAGCACTTTGGGACGCTGAGGCGGCTGGTATTGCTTGAGCCCATGAGTTCAAGACCAGCCTGGGCAATAGCGAGACCCTGTCTCTACCAAAATAGCAAAATTAGTCAGATATGGTGGCACGTGCCTGTAGTCCCAGCTACTTGGGAGGCTGAGGTAGGAGGATCATTTAAGCCCAGGAGTTTGAGGTTGCAGTGAGCTGTGATGATGTCACTGCTCTCCAGCCTGGGCAACAAAGCAAGATTCTGTCCTAAAAGAAAAAAGGAAAAAAAAAAAAAAAGAGAGGAATCAAGCATGGAAGTGACATAATATGGAAAATGGATTTCTGAACAGGGACCATGGGAGGGACTGGAAAGGGTGTAGCACGTGGTCCTACACATGCAGGAACAGAATGCTGGACAGGACCTAAGAGACTACAAGTGCAGGGCGCAGGGCATTAAGTACTGGAATTGGGAAACCAGGTATGGGTTAGGGTTCAGAGACTGCAGAACCCTGATTACCAGCCTTAATAACATGGAATCAAGCATGAAATAATTTCATAGGAAAGTCCTGAGCTATTGCTGTGGAAGAGGATGTTTCAGGGCATCTCACAGGAAGTGCCACACTCTGTTCATTTAGATCAGATTCCAAAAAGGCAGACTCCATCATGGGCAAAACAACATCTATACAAAATACCAACTCTGGGACTTTCAGAAATTTTATAAACTAACACTCTGTGACAACTCCTTTTTTGCTTAGATCTGCTAAAGTGAATTATGTTGCTGAATCCTGACCAATTCAGAATACGGTACCAGAAGGGGTTGCAGGAAACAAACTCAAGGCCTTGAATCTAGGATTGGTTATCTGATTTAAATGGGTCTAGAGGCAGTAGCATCCAATTGCCATAAGTACCATCCAGTACCATGGCTGGGGTACTGGTGTATGACCACCCAGTGATGAAACAGTTATTTAAATAATCACCTGTGGTCATCTGGAATAAAATTCCTACTTAAGGCAAGGCTTTGGTGAACTGAATATGGTAGAACAACATGGGGGATGTAAGTAATAACAGAAATGTGGGGTGATCTGTCTGCTTCTGGTTTCACTGGAGAAATTAAAGAAAAAAAGGACAAGTCTGGAGCTTTAATATCTTGGCTCAAGGCACAGTTAGGAAATCGGGCATTTCAATGCTCGCCCTAAAAGAACCCCTTACTTCTCGTATCTGTAGGACTAGCTTGGTGGACCAATTGGGACTACCATGAGATTACTCAGAACTCATACACAGAATAAACCTTCAGGGTGCTAAATGACAACATAGATTACATTTATGTGAGGATAATTAATTTCTCAATTAACTGGGAAAGAGATATACTCCAAGAATTGGAACATGACACCGGAGAGTATTCATATAACTAAGAGTGCCCCAACCTCCCCTCAAACTTCCCTTCTTCTGCAAGTAACTCCCAAAATTGTATGATGAGGCCGGTTCTGCCTTGTTGAGGACTCTCTAATGATCTCACCTGAAGCAGATGAGGAGGCCAATTCTGCTCAATGCCCCTCTCCCCACCACCCCCCAAGTCTCTAAACCTTAACTAAACTCAGATCCCAGCATGTCCCAGGGGGGTCAATTACAAAGTGAAATAGAGGAAGAGAAGATTTATATAACCAAAAAAACCTACAAAATGTTGCTTATTTATAATGGGAATGTATGAGAAAATGGATTTCATGAGTGGTGGACCAGAGAGGAAGAAACATGACTTTAGATTGGGCTGATTATAACAATTTGGACACACTTATTAGAGATTCGGGTTTCAATAGACTACCTGGAGCATCTAATATTGATTCCAGTTGATTGTTGAATTGGTTGATTGGAGCCTGGACTAAATGGTTACCTGTGCCAAATGCAGCTGAGATGCCAGAAATTCATTAAAAAAAGAGGAGGAAGGAATCCAAAGATTGGAGGAGGTAAAAGTATTGGAGAGGATTTATCATAGGCAATATGCTCATCAAGTTCCCAACTATGTCTCCCCAAAATATTTTTTTTTGAGACAGAGTCTCACTCTGTTGCCCAGGTTAGAGTGCCGTGACATCAGCCTAGCTCACAGCAACCTCAAACTCCTGGGCTTACGCGATCCTTCTGCCTCAGCCTCCTGAGTAGCTGGGACTACAGGCATGTGTCATCATGCCCGGCTAACTTTTTCTATATATTTTTAGTTGTCCAGCTAATTTCTTTCTATTTTTAGTAGAGACGGGGTCTTGCTCTTGCTCAGGCTGGTCTCGAATTCCTGAGCTCAAGCAATCTTCCCACCTCAGCCTCCCAGAGTACTAGGATTACAGGCATGAGCCACTGTGCCCGGCCTCCCCAAAATATTTAATGGTAGCACTAACCTATGCTTCCCCCCAAATCTGTAGCATTGCTTTCAGTTTTCTATTTTGGAAAAAAGCAGCATTTCAGATACTTCTACCAGACTCCTCTACCACAATAGCCTTCATTCCTTGGATCAGAGAGCCACCTGGCTCTTTTTCCTTTTGCTAGTGTACTTATTTCAACTATCCATTTAGGAAATCAGGAAATATTTGCCAGGATGGATTTGGGGACCCACTGGAATTACCATGAGATGGATTTAAGTCAAAATTGTTATTTCTCCTAACTGTGCATTTCCCCTAATAAACAATGGTCCAATAGGCCTGGTATGTATGCTATCTAGCTGTTTTTCTTTGTTTGCTATTCACTAGATATAGGCCTTTAAAAACATTCTCTTGACTGTTATTTAAGTAGGTTTTAGGAAGGGAGTAAAAGCAGATGAATGTTTTAAGTTAATCATTGTTATCAGCAAGTACACAACATTTTACAAAAAGAGTGGCATATTCTAGATTGTTCCTATTTGCATTCCCATATGTAGATCGAAGTCTCAGGGCTGACCCAAAGCTCTGCTGTATACTGGCACTGCTAAATTCACTTGTAAAACTTAAAAGAGTGAAAAGTAGGGTAGTGCAGAGATGCTTGGCATTGTTAAATACATATTCAACACAGGAGTTGCTTGAACATGCCTCGCTCTTTCCTGTGTCTGTGCCTTCCTCCAAGATTGTCCATCTGGCCACCTCCTCCCCACTTTCAAAGTCTCAGCCAAAATGCTGCCTTCTGTGCAGAATCTTCCCTGATTTCTCAGGGTCAACAGATGTTGAAGCTGCTTCTCTTGCATATCCTTTGCATCAACATTAACCCAATCACCATGACCATTTGTAATTGTTACTTGAAATATCTGTCTCTTCATTCGATTTTAAGGTTCTTGGGGGCATGATTATGCCATTATATCTTTGTATCCTCTGTACCAATGTAAATGCTCAATAAGATATTCTTTGAGAGAATGAGTAAAAGAATGCTAGGCACTGAGGAGGAAGCTATTAAGATGAATTAGATGAAAATGATGCCCTCAAAAAACTTATACTCTAGGGAGAGAGAGGATGCACATAAAAACAAATACAGTAGTAAGTACCAAGTAACATAAAAGGGATAAAAATAAAATTCTATGGGGATTCAAAGGAGGGAAACAATTCCATCCAGGTGAAGGAATCTCAGAGATGTTAAGATTTTCTAGGATCTCATATTTTAAAGACTATGATAGAGAAAAGGAAAGTGAAAAGGCTAGAATATTCTAGGCTAAAGAAAGAAGAGCATGAGCTAAGTCCTATAATAGGAAGCCTTAGGGTACATATAGGAAAGAGAAAGATGTGTGGCTTAGAATGAACTAGTACATGTATTGCATGTTTTCGTTTCAGGGCCTTGAACAATATGTGAAGTAAGCGTAAATTTCTAACTTAATGAAAATGTATGTTAATTTATAGAATGGCTGAATACATCTATCCTCTAAGTCAACATATAACACCCTATTTAGCTTATAATAAAGTTGAACTATGAATTAATATACCATTTAATCTTTTTTATATTACTTTTTATTTTAAGCGTAATATGTGTACATTCACAGAATATTGGGAAAACTCGAAATAAATATTCAATTATATTTAACATTCTACTATGTTACCTCATTTTTTCATATACCATCTCAGGAACATTTACCCAGGAAATTAATTATTCTTCTGCAGCATGCTTTCTAATGGATGTATATTGTACCATTGTTTGGATATACCAAAACGTATGTAACCAATTCTTTACTATTGGAAAATTAGGTCAGTCCTGAAATTTTTGTTGTAAATGCTAGGTTGAACATTCGTATGTATAACTGTTTGCCCCTATCTGATTATTTTCTTTCTATAAATTTCTCTAAATGGAATTTCTTGGTCAATGGATGAAAACAGTTTAAAAAATTTTTATACATTTTGCCAAATTGCCCTTCTATTCTAATTACCTTCTCTCCAGCTGTGAATGAGGTCTGATCTCCTGACTATTAACAATCCGGGCAATGGTGGCTCATGCCTGTAATCGTAGCACTCTGGGAGGCCAAAGTGGGAGGATTGCTTGAGGTCAGGAGTTCGAGACCAGCCTGAGCAAGAGCGAGATCCGTCTCTACTAAAAATAAAAAGAAATTAGCTGGACAACTAAAAATATATAGAAAAAATTAGCCAGGCATGGTGACATAGGCCTGTAGTCCCAGCTACTCGGGAGGCTGAGGCAGGAGGATCGCTTGAGCCCAGGAGTTTGAGGTTGCTGTGAGCTAGGCTGATGCGGTGGCACTCTAGTCCAGGCAACACAGCGAGATTCTGTCTCCAAAAAAACAATCCTGAGTATGTTGATTTTTGAAAAATCTTTGCCAAATTTAATTGGTGAGAAATGATATCTTACTTAAAAATTTTGAATTTCTTTGATTAAGGGAGGATAAACATGTTTTCTTAGGTGTATTTGTCATTTCCCCTCTCTTTTTTAATGATTTGCTTTTTCAGGTCCATGGGAGTGTAAGTTCCACAAGGGCAGCCTACTTTTTTGTATGTTTTGTCACTGCTGTATCCTCAGCACCTAGCCAGGTGCATAGTGTGCATTCATGACATTGCTTTTGAGTGAATTATCTTTTCTAATTGGGTGTTAATCTTCTTAAAAAATTTATTTTAAAATCTGCATATGCAGATATGAAATTTATCAATCCTGGCAAATAGTTTACCCAATTTTCCATTTATTTATTTATTTTTTTAGTTTTGTTGACGGTTCTTTTTTTGTCAAAGGGAATCTCTGAAGTGCTGCGATTTAATATTTGGCAATTCAAGGTCCCTTTCTCTTCTTTTTAAAAAATTTCTTGATTTAGTTTAACTTTTCAAGTTTCAAAAAAACCCCTTGGTACTCTGATTAGCATTTTGTGTAATAAATAAATAAATTGGAGAAGCAATATCTTTATAATAATGAATATGTCGATCCAGAAATATATGTTCATTTAAATAAATCCTTTATGTACCTCGGATAAGTTTTATAGTTGTCTTTATGTAGAATCTGAACAATTCTTTTTACCTTTAATCCTAAACTTTTTTTGTTGCAGTTAATATTTGAATGGGACCCCTCTCCACTAGATTTTCTAAGTGCTGATTGATAAAAAAGCTCTTAATTTTTGAATGTAGTGGTATGGGGGTCACTATACTGAATTCCATTAGTTTTAATAACTCTTTAGGTGATTCTCTTTGATTTTGTAGAACAATAATACCATACAAATAAAGACAATTTTATCTCATTTCCAGAAGCTATTAGTTTTGTTTTTCTTATTACATTGCATTGGCTAGAGCTCTCAGAACAATGTTAAATTATAATGGTGACAACTGACATCCTTGTCTTGTTTCTTATTTTCATGGAAGTTCTTTTAGTGTTTTATTTTTGAATATAAAACTAGCTGCTGATTTGAAGGGGGTTCTGTGTGTGTGTTAAGAAACTATTCTTTTAAGCCTAGTTGCTAAGGTTTTTTTAACAAAATAATCACGACGAGATGTTGAATTTATCACCATTTCACATTTTCAAGTTTTACCAATCATATATATTTTTTATCCTTTAACTTATTAGTGAATTATATGAATAAATTTCGTAATATCAAACCATGGTTTGTTCCTTAAATTCAGATAATCCAATATTTAATTTAGCCTCAAAATGCATCATGATTTATATTTGCAGTACGTTTGTCTTCCTAATTATAATTCTTCTAGGTAAATCTTCATTTGCCCTTTGGACACATCCTGACACTGGAGAGGGACTGAGTGTCATAAGCATCACAGCAGAAAAGGGAATCGTGGCTGGATTTGAAATATGCCACGGTTAATTCCACATATAATGAAATTGAAAACTGGCCATACAGAGCTTCAGTTTCTAGATTACTTACCCATTTGGGTTTCTTTCCAGCTCATTTAAAAGTGTATGATCACAGTATTCAAACACTAAATGCATTTTCCTTTTTCTCCTGAACACCTCAATGAGGTTCACAAGGTTTGGGTGTTTTAATTGCTGCAAAGGAATCAAAATACAAAGTTTAGTATCTGTTTCTAGAAACCGTTTCTCTCCTTACAATGTTAAGAACACAAGACCTTGCTGTGTACATCTCTTGTGGAGAATTTTATTATAGTTACTCATAACAGAAATTGCTCTTAGTAAGAATCACAGAAACTTAAAGTTGGAAGCAATTTAAGAATTCATCTAATGTACCTATAATAGATGGTAACTAAACCGCTTGAATCTCTCTGGTGATAGCAAATAAAGTATACAACTTAAAATACAAGCACTAAAACAAAAACTACTTTATGTATTTTATGAAGACTCTAAATGTCCAAGTCATAAATTAAACTTTAAATTAAATAAAAAATTGAGGAAATAGAATTATTGCATAAAAGACTATAAAAGTTACTAACACTTACTTAGCTTACATATTACTATGGACTGAATGTAAACATTAGCTGGATTTAAATTCAGTCTGGATTCTAGCCTTGGCTCTCAGCAATACTAGATCTCAACTCTCAGATCTGATTAAACTCCCTATTCTAGGGGTCCCTACAGTTAGTCTGTTTTAAATTTATTCATTGTATTTTCAGCTCTGTTCTTTGATTCTGTTGTTTTCTCTTATGTTTAGATGTTTTATGTGCTAAATTCTATTCCCAGACTGAAGCATTTCACAAGACAGCTTCTGCTTAATATTGTAAACCAGAAGAGAAATGCTGATCAAGTAAGATAGTCCATCACTAGAGTAACTATATAATTTCATTATCCAAACCCGGGTTTAAGTATAAGCCAGGACTATCTCAGACAAACCAGCACATTGTGGTCACCCTGCCAATAACTAGGGTGACCATACAATTTAGCATACATACCTGGACACTTTTGAAAGGGGATGTGAACCAGACAGGACACTGGGACAAAAACTATAAAGCAGGACTGTCCTGCGCAAACCAGGATATACAATCACTCTTATTCATAACTCATCTTTCCTGTTGTTTTCCCAGTATAGTAGACTAACTGACTTTCCAAATCCTGTACCATTCACCCAGAAAGACAGATAAAAAGAGAGAGCACAGTATTTTGTATATAGTAGAAGCTCAATAAGTGTTTTGCAGGCCCAGTCGAGTTTTAGGTACAGGGGCTTACATTGTATGTCTCTACTTCAGAATGTCCCATCCAAGTACTAACCAGGCCTGACCCCGCTTAGCTTCCAAGATCAGACAAGATTGGGTGCGTTCAGGGTGGTATGGCCGTAGACTACTTCAGTATCCATAAGCATGGCTTGACCAAAAAAATGCCACCCTACAACTGCATGCCTCCTGATCAACAGTTTGAGAAAAGAAAATCCATTATACATTAAAAATATGCCCAGGCTGAGGAAGGAGGACTGCTTGAGCCTAGGTGTTCAAGATCTGCCTGGGCAACATAGCGAGAATCTGTCTCTTTAAAAAAAAAGAAAGAAAGAAAAGAAATGCCAAGAGCACCAAACCAATTTGCTTTCTATGTGCTCCACTGCCTAAAAGAGCAGAAAGGTGAAGAGTGGAGGAGACAGGTCATGCAGAAAGGCAGCTGCTTTGTGCTGCTGCAAAACCACAGTATGCACGCAAAGCAGAGTAAGGGATTCACGGGTGCTACTGTTTGACACAATGTTAAGGCTCAACCTGGTCAAATCTCCTGTCTTACTCAACAAGTCAGCAATTTATGTCTCCTTTGCAAACGGAGTTAACTTAGCCCAGAAAAACAGTGACTTGCTAAAGTAAAATAGGTAGTAAGGAGGGGAGGCAAATCAAATTTACATAACAGGAATATATGGAGAAAGTAAGGTCAATTTATCATGGAAGGACTATGTTCATGGCACGCATGCTGCAACATACCAAACACAGGAAAGATGTGCTTCTGAGAACCATCACCAGAGACCAAGCTGAGATGAAATCTGGCTACTTTTTTACTTTAAAGCTCATTTTCAAATTGGGGAACTTGCAACTCAGAGGTACTATCTGAGCATTAACTTTATTTGCAGACTTGGGAGGGAGAGACTGAAGGGTAAAACCATTATTTATTTATTTTTTTTAGAAAACAACACTGCCTGGTTCAGACCCAGTCTGCAGCTTCTTAGCCCACTGACAGGTGCCAGAGCTGCCTGGCTTACCAGCGCCCTCTGCTGGCTAAGAGGTAACAGTAAACCGTTTTTTATCATGATGTATTCTTGAAAACTCTGTATATCAAATTATATTATATTAATTAATTGATTTATTTTTAGAGACAGGATCTTGCTCTGTCACCCACGTTGGAGTGCAGTGGCATGATCATAGCTCACTGCAACCTCGAACTCCTAGCTCAGGAGATCCTCCAGCCTCAGCCACCCAAGTAGCTGGGACTACGGGTGCATACGTCCAGCCAATTTTTAAATTTTTTGTAGAGACAGGTCTCTCACTGTGTTGCCCAGGCTGGTCTTGAACTGCTGGGCTCAAGTGATCCTCCCGCCTCAGCCTCCCAAAATGTTGGGATTATAGATGTTAGCCACCTGTCTGGCCTCGAATTATATTTTAGACAAAACACTAGAATGTATTATTTGAGGAAAACTGCTGCAAATAATATTTGAAAAGGAGAGATAATATGACAATTATTAATGATAATTATCATTCCCCTAGACAAATTGAATTTGTTTTTTTTTTTTTTTTAAACAGATCACACGCCAAAAAGTATACGTCACTGGGTGTGATATTCAATACATCTAGGATCCTGCCATGCGGTGCAGAAAGGGACCAATCAATGTCAGTGCCTCCTGGGGCAATGGCAGTCCAGTGGGACCCCCTAGGTCAGGAGGTGCTCTTTTAGTTTCTGGTTGGTGGGGGAAAGTATTTTGGTGGGGGACATCCAGAGGAGGGTTAGGGTTTGTGGGGGAGGGCTTGGAGGGAGTATAAACACTGAGGTGCGAGGACTTTGGACAGCGTGGATATTCACCAACCAGAATGGAAGTACTTCAATATAACAATCTACAGCTGCACTTATATGTGTCAGATAAACATCAGAGGGGCCAAAGTCCAAAGTGACGATCAACTTATTTCCCAAAGTTGCTGACACAAAGGAATTTAAGTCCAATGAGGAAATGATAACTGAGTATTCTTTGTAATTTTAGCACACGTATATTCCACCCAATACCATGATATTATGGATCTATATAGAAAGTTAACTTACCTTCAACATCCGTATTTCTCTTAGAGCTATTTTCTTAACAACAGGATCATCTTCAGATTCCACAAATTTTTTAATAGCTACTATTTGTCCAGAGGTTTTGTTTCTGCATTTGAATACAACCCCATAAGACCCTTCTCCAATCTTAGCTAATTTTTCATATTTTTCCATTATGGTTGAAGTGACTTAAATTATTATATTGATTGACTTGCAGTATAAAGTCACACCTGGAAAATAAGATTGACTTGCCTTAATCGAGTTATAAAAGACAATGTTTTCACAGTTTATATAAAAGCCATTTGCCCAGGATGCCAAAGATTTATTTCCACTGATTAACTTGACATTCACAAAAATATTTGTATGTTATTTTGTTAGTTTAGCTTAGTCCTCTGCAGGCCTTCCAGCTATCACACTGGTTTCATGTATTATTTCTGACAATGGGTCTGTGTTGTCCTCAGTTGAATTCAAAGAATTTGCGGAAACGAAACTTATCCAATCTATTGTTTTCATCAACCTCAAGTAAATAATTCAAATATGATGCGGTAAAATCCAGCTGAAGGAGCAATTCATACTCTTGAATATGGTGTTTATCTTTTCCCTTCTATCCCTTGCGAATACCACAAACACTAAGAGTCGTGTAACAAGGCATGATACAAAGTGCTATACCTCCACCTGGTGGAGAGACGAAAGAGAAAACGTGGGCTGTTGAACAAAGCAGCCTTTAAAAACAATGGTAACAAGATCCTTTTCGGGCTTCATTTATTGCTCTTAGCTTTTTTAGTATGGAGGGACAGATCCATGAATTAGCCCGCAAAGAAAATAATGATAAAGCACAAAAAAGGAGGTCGGTTTCTCTAATTCTTCATGAATGCTTTCGTATCCATATGATTTCTATAGATATTCTAGGTTTAATTTTTCTGTCTTACATAGCCCATTCCTGAATTTTTTGGTACTTGGATTACATGTCAAATGATGAATAAGGTCAACTTATTAAAATAAATCAGTCTAGGAATGAAAAATATAAAAATTCTAATTAGTTTCAAAAATCCCACCCTACTTTACCCAGCAAAATTTTGTTAATATAATCTAATAATAACAATAATAATAGCACTTAACATTGTTCTAAGTAAATTATATATAATCTGCACAAATATTGTATGAAGTAGGTGTTATTTTTATCCAATTATACAGATGGGAAAACTGATATGGAATTAAAACCCAGGCAGCCAGGTGCCAAAGAACACAATTTTAATCACTACACTACACCACCTCTCAGTTAATTCAAAAGAATGCACAGGCTGGGTGCGGTGGCTCACGCCTGTAATCCTAGCACTCTGGGAGACTGAGGCGGGCGGATCGTTAGAGCTTAGGAGTTGGAGACCAGCCTGAGCAAGAGCGAGACCCCGTCTCTACTAAAAAAAATAGAAAGAAATTAGCTGGACAACTAAAAATATATAGAAAAAATTAGCCAGGTATGGTGGTGCATGCCTGTTAGTCCCAGCTACTCGGGAGGTTGAGGCAGAACGATCACTTGAGCCCAGGAGTTTGGGGTTGCTGTGAGCTAGGCTGATGCCATGGCACTCTAGCCCGGGCAACAGAGCGAGATTCTATCTCAAAAAAAAAAAAAAAGAATGCACAATTTAAAAGAACCACTTTATCCAGGTTTTGATATTAATAAAATGTCAAGTGAAAGAATTGACTATTTGTACAATTTCTCATGTTTCAAATGAGTACACATTTTTTAACTTCACTAATATTTAGCCTTTTCCATCCACAGGTTATCTCAATAGCATCTATAAAAATATACAATAGGGAAAACTGTTTACCTGGGTAAATGACCACTAACATATTATCTTACAGTGCTTTTTCTTTTTTTTTAGTAGATTCTATTTCCTCTCTTATTTGAGGGAGAAAACTCAAGCATACACACTCAAGTAACAGATGGAAAATACATCACAGATTATGTTTTGAAAACCCTATTAATTATACCATATTTTTAGCTAGGTATTATTATCTTATAGGTATTTAGATATAAGCATGCACACATTTGCCTTTCTTTACTATAGTAATAGGTGGCTGGAAAGAGAATAGGAGAAATAGAGTTTGCTTTAGAAAGTTATTGGTATAAAATTTTATAGATTTAGTAATTTAATCTACTTGGTAAGTACTACAGTTACTGGGGGAAACTACGAATATGACAAAAAACTTAATTATGAAGTTTTAATCTATACATTATTTCCTTATTTTCCTCTAGGTAGTTGATTTGATCTATTGATCTATGCTTTTCCTTTTTTCCCCGACAGGTTAAAAAATGACTGATTCCTCAGACCAATATTTAGATCTCTTAGTGACATCAACCAAACTGCTAAATGCAATGTAAATCTCCAGAAAATAGTACTTTGTTTGGTAACCTCTCAGTATTATCTGTTTTCTAAAGATGTTCATAGAAGATGAATCTGAGTATGTAAGCAGGAATTAGACCAAGGCAGGAATTCCACAAAGGAATTTACAGTGGTAATTCCAGTACTAGGACTCTACCAGAGTTTTTAGAAGCAGTAATTCCTAATCTCTTACCTGAGATCCAGACCAACTATCCAACTGTTTGATGAACAATCTCTACATGAATGAACAAAATCATCTCAAAATTGCTACATTCTAAACCAAATGCCCCTCTTCTTTCTTATCCTCTATCCCTACCCAGAGTTCACGAACGTGCTCTACATTACACCCAAATGGCTTGTCAAGGTACAATGGTGGGGACTTTGAGGTGGCCAAAGGATAATGACTGCTACCTAAATCTAATCTCTTTATATATCTACCACAAAGTGATACAAATCAACCAGAATAAATAAAATCACATAAACTCAATGCCTTCAACATAACAAGAAGACAGAAGAGTCTACAAACTTAAGTAGAAAAGTGAAGCCCAGATTCTGGAAGAGAGAACTCTTGAGCTCCCACTGGAAGCCTTGGCAGAAAGCAAAGATAGGAGTGGAATGAGATCTGGAAAAACTGTAAGAAAGAGAGAAGAGGAAAAGAAGAGCCTAAGATAGACTTAAAATCACCTTACCTCCCAAAGAGAAAATAAATCACGAATGTAAAAATATGGAAAAAGTGTCCTGGTAGATTAGAGTACTCATGACAGAGAAGGGATATGGGTATCATGGCAGCATCAGTTAGTGTGGCACTCTTGGGGAATAGAAGGGCAAGAGGAAAGGGGACAGCACCTGTTGGAGACTGGACAGTGAGGGAGAAAAAGAAGCAAGAGGAATAAATTTGGGCTCTTGCAAGACAAAAGGAAACCCCGAATGGCAGGACATGTAAATCCTCCCATCACTACTAAGGGAAAAAAGCACCATCAATTAAAGAAACTGTACTTTGCTACAGCCACAGAGAGGATTCTCTTTACCTAGGATAATTGTTGATTACTAACGGCTAAAACCTGCCCAAGAAATAAAAGAGAGGAAAGCAGTCTCCATACAAGCTATTTTTTTTTAATTTCAGGATATTATGGGGGTACAAAGATTTTGGTTACAGGTTATGACTTTGTCACACAAAAACCATGATTTGAGGCATTCCCTTTCCCCCTACAATGCTCATCATGTCCATTAGTTGTGAGTTTATGCACCCCCAAACCCCAATCCCCAAAGAATATTACTACTGTGTGAGCACCTTAGTGTTGATCAGTTAGTGCCAATTTGATGGCGAGTACATGTGGTGCTTATTCTTCCATTCTTGTGATACCTCACTTTGGAGGATGGGCTTAAGATCTATGCAGGAAAATATAAGAAGTGCTAGATCACTGTCATTTTTCATAATTGAGTAGTATTCCACTGTATACATATACCATATGGGGTAAAATCAATAGTACCAACACATATGTAATGAGATTCCCAGAAAGAGAGGAGTGAGAAGAAGGGGCAGAAAAAATATTTCAAGAAATGATGGCCCAAACTTTCCAAATTTAATAGAAAATATTAATAGACCGATTTTAAAACTTTAATGAATTTCAAGCAGGATAAAAACAAAGAGATCCATACTTTGATACATCATAGCCAAACTGCTGAAAACCAAAGGCAAAGAGAGTATCTTGAAAACAGCAAGAGGGAACCATTCATATTTAAGGGAACAACAATATGCTCAATGGCTGACTCCTCATCAGAAAAACAATAGGAAAAAATCAATAAACAAAAAACTGATTCTTTGAAAAGATCAACAAAATTGAAGCTTTAGCTAGAATGAGCAGGAAAAGAGAGGAATAAGAGTTCCCCAAATTAGGACCACCCTATGGAATTTTTAAAAATTAAAAGAGAATATTCCAGATGACTGTATGCAACCAAATTAGTCAACGAGGTTGGACAAGTGCCTAGAAAGACACTAAATACCAAAATGGACTCAAGAAAAAAATAGGAAATCTAATTATACCCATAACAAGTAAAGGAATTGAATTAGTAATTAAAAATCTACTGACAAAGAAAATCCCAGGATCAGATTGCTTCACAGGTAAATACTACCAAACATTCAAAGAATTAATACCAATCCTTCACAAACTGTTTCAAAAAAAGAGAAGAAGGAACATTTCTCAACTTATTCTATGAAGCATCACTCTGATACAAAGTCAAGACAAAGAAATCACAAGATCAAGATCACAGATGATTATTCTCATAAATATAGACACAAGAATCTTTAACAAAATAATCAGCAAATGAAATCCAGAAACATAGAAAGGATTATATACCAGGACTATGTTAGATTTATCTCAGGAATGCAAGGTTGGTTTAATACTGAAAATCAATAATGTAAAATAACATATTAATACAACAAAAGACAAAATCACATGATTATTTGACAAAACTCAACACTGATTCATGACAAAAATCTCAATGAACTAGGAATAGAAGAGAACTTCCTCAAGGGCATCTGTGGAAAAACCTACAATTAACATCATGCTTCATGGTGAAAGACTGAATGTTCTACTCTTAGATCAGAAAAAATAATGTTTGCTTTCACCATTTCTATTTATCATTGTATTGAAAGTTCTTGTCAATGAAATAAGGCAAGAAAAAGAAATTAAAGGTATGTTGACTGGAAATAAAAAGTAAAACTGTCATTATTTGGAAATGACATAAGACTGTATGTAGAAAATCCTAATTAATCTATAATAATATATA